TGTTCTTCTTCGGACTCGATCTCCTGCTGTGGACCTTCACACCCGTGATGGCGTGCATCCTCTCGGTCATTATATGGACCTTGCTGGCGTTTATCGGATTCACAACTGTGGCGCCCATGTTTAGGCCTGACTGTCCTTACAAGTCGCCGCAGGCACTTCTAGCTCAGCAGCTGCTCCAGAATGTATCCCGCTCGCTGCCGTGTCGGCTGGTACAGCGACTCTTCGGTGATGTCGCCGGCTTCTTCCGGCTTCGCTCACATGAGCAGGCGCACCCCACCTCTCAATACGCTGGTCTACCGCTCCGGGCTATGCCTACATCGAATATCCCACCTGAAGGCTCTTCACTGCGACCATCTGGTTCGGGCCCGATATCGAAGGCCGCGAGGGACCTCGGTGTAATTCTTCGAAGTTTTTACGCTGCTGTTATGACTGGATTCGCCGTGACGAGGGCGAGCATGTGCAAATATGCAGCGCCACTCCCTGGGGAGAGGCTCACGGGCGATTGGAGAGAACAGGAAGAGCGGCTACTGTCTAATGAGAGGTCTGCGCCGCATTACCTAAAGCTCCCTCGGCTACTCGAACCATCCATCTTACCATGCGCCTGATTGACCCTCATAGACGACTCGTTCATTGCAAGCATAATAATTTACCCCTGTGTCTTGGATCCGGACATGTCACTGCGAATGGGTCTTGATGTCCTGTCAGGTCTGAATCGGGCCGCGTCCTCAGCTCGTGAGCACACAATGGTCGATGCCCTAGCGATCGAGCTCAGCGAGAAGGTCGCTCGTACTGGGAGCTCTGCTGACAAGATCGAATTCGTGCTTCGGCTTTCCAGCTCGAACGCTTGCGGGGAGCGGAACACTGTACGGGGGAAGGTAGCCGTGGTTGCTATCACGCGAGTGTGGGCCAGTGCAGCAATCGTCGACGACGAACTCGACAGACAGGTCGCCGAGCAGCTCGCAGTGCTGGGAACCGACTGGAGGCTAGCCGAAGTCGACGAGAGATTCACTCTTCCCCATTCTAGTACGCTCGTGTTTTCGGTTCCATCCTTGGTACGCGCTCACGAACCTTAAACGATCAGAAGCCCTATACCTGCTCGAGTTTGCTATGGAGCAGCTCGAACTCCAAGCATCCTCTGCTGCCGGGCTGCACACTGAGCGCGTCATATCCGCTTGCCTCATGGCCATAACACTGTCCGTCTCCGCAGACAAATCTTGCTTCGAGCACCACCTGCAGGGAGCGACATGGACGGTGATCGAGGCAATGTGCAGGGCCCGGGAAGTGCTCTTGGGAGTTGATGCTCGCGGATTCTCGAGTCTGCTCGCCCCGCTGGTTCGCAGACACAATCGCGCTATTTCCCGGCCTCGGCTGAGGAGATGCTTGTGGAACATTTCTCAGATCGACGAAGGGTACCACCGCCAGATGCTTGATCTGCTCCAGGAAGAAGCGCCAGCTTGCATCGAGGACTTCAGGTAGAACGAGATCTGGAGCACGGCACAGGAGTGAGTACCGCTGCGTCCTGTAGTTGTGACTGCCTCGAACTGACGTTATCTCCTCGCCATAGCATGGCAGGCGTTCTCTGTGGTTTGTCCGGTGTTGCTAGTACGCACCGTGAAAATTTAGGGATTGTCCAAATGTCCTCGCAATGCTATGTCTTTCCTATCAAACTCTCGTGCGTTTTCGTACAATCATGAGATCTTCACCTCGTGTGCAGTATTTGTGCCCTCGAATCAGCACATGAGCCCCGTGTTCTCATCCGCGGATCGGCACCCGAAGCTCCATGCATTGATCTCTGTCGATTGTCAAGATCAGATGCTGCAGCAGGCGGCGCATATAATCAAACCTTCGCGCCATGCGCACCTATATGTCACAACCCGACCTCGTGGCCGACGGCGTAAACTTCCTAGGATGCGTACCATCTCGTGAAGTGCGACAACAGTTCCTGATGATTACTTCAGGGCCCGGAATGACCGCGGTACATGGGAGGCCCCCAGGACAAGGCTGGCTATAGCATGATCTCCGCGGCTTTACCCTCGATATTCTTTGTGCGACGCGCCGCAGTCTGTTTCAGGTCAAGGTGCTAGCCATCATCCCAATAATCCGGGGACACATTCACCGGGGTATAACTTCGCGCCACGTCGTGTTCTAGTGACTCGGAGAGCGACCTACTTGACGGATGGAGTCATACAGATGCTTGTTGCGTAGTCCAGGTGATGATATGCAAATGTCCCCCTGGGAGAGATGTACCATGCACATAGTGATCGTTACTAGTACTCATCACAGAGGCGGCAGCAGTTCGACTTCTTCCGCGTCCACCCTCCGCGCCGCCCACCCAACACGTTGCACCACGCGTGAATCAGCGGCGTGATCAATACCAAGTTATCTCATCAGGTTCAGTCTTGTCTCCTTTTGCAGCAGGTTTTCAGGTTCTGCGTCTCAGATCGCGTGCAGTGTCCCCGGAGGCACCAGCCTGAGAGTGCACTCCGGACCAGTGTCACGGACCGAGCCGACCGGCACGGCCGGGACCCCGGCGGGACCGACACAGTCACCCCTAGGGACATTAATACTCTTACTCTTGCCTCTCTGTTCAACACGGTACACGATGATCGCATGTACAGTGTGTTGTGCTGCAAAATGGTGGACGTTCCCCACCCAAGATATCCAGATCTATCTTTGATCGAGGCGTTGCACCACTATGACCTGACTGATTCTGCAGGCAGCAATGAGCACCAATAGCACCCGAAAACTACCTCATCATTATGCCCTGCTACGTCATTCTGTGTGAGTGATTGGTCTGGTAATTTGCAAACTATGGTTCGCTGATATCGGCCGATGGTAGATATTTGAATTCTGCCCTGCCAAGTTACAGAAGATTCGGAGAGCTCATTTTGGGCAGTCGCGGCTCCGTGCGAAGGCACGCTGTGCCTTCGTGGCAATTTGTTTTCAATTGCTTATTGTGTCTTCCATATTGGACTTCCGAGCTTCCTGCTGCTCCCCGTAACACGCACATGCCCACAGCAGAATTACTCCAGGAGGAATGGCTAGTCGCGACACGCAACTCCGCTCCGCTCGCGAAGCCTTTCTTGTGGAGCGCGATGCCATACCGAGCCCGCGGAGCCGGGTCGACACGCACGAGGAGAACGAACTGCGGTGCTCACTCCGCAAATCCCACCGCGAAGCTACGCCAGCTTCTGGCACGCCCGATTCTTGATGCAGTTTCAGCCCCGTTCCGACGGCAAAATATGGATGAAGGCCGACAGACAAGATGCCGGGCGACATGCGATCTAGGCACTTCGATTGTTCGAGACGGAGCTTCCTGGGCCCGGCTGGGCGATGTGCAAATGGCTGCACAAGTGACGGCGCGCTTCTCCCGCGATCCATTGTGGCGTTTTCATTTCCTAGTTCCTGGCCTGGGGCGCGTGACGGTCGCAGGGACCTCGTCGCGTGCCAACTTCCTGGCACCCAACATGGCATGCATCCTGGCGAAGCTTGAGTTGGTGCCGCAGCTCCTCTTGGCAGTCAGGTCCCAATCACCATGTTATCGACAGGCAGACTGCGGAAGGACGAACAGGTGTCCGACGTAAAGCTTCCTTAGTCACGCGCCGCGGAAGAAAATGCGCTGATTACGGGTATGGTACAGTATGAGTCCTTGAGGTATGGTGTGCTGGAATAGGTCGTGGTATGTCGGCCCCAAGGCAACTCTTCGGAAATACGCCACATCACGCCATGTCGCTGGACGGGTCGTCCAGTCCCACCATCGCCTCAACCGCGTCCCCTATCACCTGGAAGCCCTTCTTCACTGGTGCCGTCGGCTGCTCCGCCTCGGACGACGCCGCCTCGCTCGGGTCGACGAGGTATCGCACCGCGTCCCTAGCCCAGCAGCGTCCTTGTCAGCATCAGCACTCGACGTCGCAATTGCAGGTGAACACCTACCCGGTTTCATGCGCCGCAACCGACGACAGCGACGCAGGCGGGATATGCTCCTTCACCGCGCCCGCAATCGCCGCAGCCAGGTCCCTGCTCGGCACGCCCAGCGCCTGCGCGAGCTCGTTGATGCGGTCCTCCACGCTCGGGTTCTCTGCGCGCGTCGCGGCCGGCTCGGGCGCGCTCCCACTCGTCTGCGTCGTCCACGCCGCCTGTGCCGCGCTAGGCTTGTGCCCCGTGGCGAGGTTCCACAACCCGCCGACCTGGGCCTTCCACTGGAGGATACGCCAGGCGTAGAACGCGAGGAGCACTGCCGCAGCCAGCGCGATGTAGTAGTTGAAGCGGCGCAGAGGCGTGTGCGAGAGCGGTGGGGAGACGGAGCGCATGGCCTTGCCCTCGCGGGGTGATGGGAGATCCTCGCGCGACTTCACAGCGGATCCCTTCTGCCGTACGTTGTCTGGCATGGCTCGTATTGCAAGATTGAATAGCCTTTGTTAGCGTGTTTCATGGTCAGATACCAGATCTGTTGGTAGACATAAGGAAGCAAGCACCTGTTCCAAAGGATTGATATTGTGGGAGCCCTCAAATGTCCAAAGCTATGTCAAATGCAGTGAAATTCAAGTCGGAGGTATGGGACGAACATTGTCACTTTATACATCCACGGGACAGCAGCACACCACAAGCAGTGACGTCACGGATCAGTCCATGGAGTACTGAAGGCTCCTTAATTATAGCAATGGGGTGTGACGGCGTGACCTTAGCAATTGGTCGGACGCGTAGCAATTAGTCGCATGTGACCTGTGATAATCTAAGAAATTCGGTCTTGTGTCCACGGTAATGAAACTTTCAGGCCCCGCAGGGCTCCAAAAAATGGTTAGAAACAGTTTCCAGATAAGATCGGGTTCTCCAGCCTCCAATCCCTCTGTTTCACCGTCTATTTGTGACGTGACATTGACTGTTTATAGCAATACAATGGAAGGGTGTGACGTGACCAATTGCTATAACTAAGGAGCCTTCAGTACTTCCTAATGTTGCCTTTACCAATGATGGCGTGTTAACATTTAAATTTTTACGTTGCCGGGATAGCTCAGCTGGGAGAGCAACAGACTGAAGTGACATAGCCCGCGCGCTTTCTGGAGGTCCCGTGTTCAATCCACGGTCCTGGCATATATTTTTGCCGGTTCCGCGATCTTGCAATTGCCGCAAGGCATTACACCCCTCAACTGCAATTCGAACTATTAATAGTCGATTATTCGAGAGCAACGATTAAATTGGAAGAGAAGATGAAATGTCACTAGGAGATACACAATCACGAAAGTCGTAACAGACGGAGACGGTAGGGGATCGTTATCACTGGCATCCAGCGCGGCGAGGTAATGGGGAGGGACTACGTATACGGCGGCGAGGCGAGGCGGGAGAGAAGGTATGCATACAGGGAAACGAAGTCGGGTTCAAACAGTCATGTATCATACAAACGCAGCCTACACAAGCGCGGGCGAGGGGTACTATACAACACTCTAGGACATCTTCACGGACCATCGAATCACAAGCCAGCCAGACCAGCACAGCGAGATAGGGAGTCAGCGAACAACCATCAACTCACCGAGCCCAGCTTCACTCGTCCTCGGGCTCCCCCGCGACCTCCGCGTGCATGCCCGACACAGACTCGACAGGCGACGAGTCCATGTCCGCGCCCGCACTCTGCGGCTGCGGCTGCGGGGCATACCCGGTGTAGTGCGGCCACGCCACGCCGGGGTACGCTGCATATCCATGCGGTGGGGGATAGTACGAGGGGTACACGGGCGGGGGCGGGGGCGGGTTCGGTGCCGCGGACTGTTCCGCCGGGGGTGGCTGGGCGTAAGCAGGGTATGTCAGCGCGGGCGCGGGGGCCGTGGTGCCCTGCGGCGGGGAGGGGGTATGCGCGACGGGCGCGGGTGCGGGCGAGCTCGATTGGGCTGGTGGAGGGAGGGTGGGGTATGGCCCGGGGGAATACATCGGCGGGACAGGGTATGTCGAGGGGACCTGGTAGTAACTATAAGGTGCGTAGTGCATGCCCGCCGCAGACGGGTCGGGATAGCCGGGTTGTGGTTGGTGCACAGATACAGCAAGCGGCTGAGGGAGCTCAGCGAGTGTGACGTCGTTGTGTTCTTTGCTCTTGGACTTGCGCGACCGCTTGGACGCACCGGTCCCGTAGGGGTCGTATCGCTTGCCGCGCTTATGGCCGCTGGTCTCGCCGTCATAGTATGGCCCGCCAGAGAGCGAGGCGGCAAGTAGCCGCGGGGAGGTGTCAATGTCGTCAGCCTCGCCTCGATATCGCGGGACGCCATCGACGCCGATCTCGACCTTTGGTGGGTTGCGAAAGTGTGTCTTGTCAAGGTATTCCGGGCTGATGTCCAGGGAAGCTAGCTCTGGCAGTGTTGATGGCGCACGCAATCGACCCTGCTCGACATCTTCAATTTTGTAGTACGAGATGAGGTGCTGCGCCACCCCTCCGATGGTTAACGAAAATGTCTGCAAGGATTCGGGTCAATACAATGAACAGTACGTGCGAGCGACGAAGGTGAATATATGGATGTCGATAAGTAGCAATGCCTCATCAGGGAATAGCGCAGAGCGCGCATTCCGATTTGAGTCTCAACGGTTGAAAACTGCAGATTGCGGAAGATATTGGATTGGACGGGGTAGCGAAAGGAGTGCCAATGATAACGACGACACACCTTCTTCATCATGCCTCCTGGCTTGAACTTGTAGCTGTTCGTAAGGCTCCCAACCAAGCTGCGTTCGCGCTGGCGGTCAATGCCCAGCCGGCTCGTCTCTCCCTTTGGCCTGCTCAGTGTCTGACCCTCCTGTTTGCCGTCGCCATACTCCTCCGTCGGCGAGATCTGCTCGATGCGCGCGCTGCGGTGGCCCGCGCCGCGCTTCTCCGTCTCGCGATAAAGCAGAAAGTTGCCGAGGATGCGCGACGGCGACCAGAAGAAGCCGTCGGTCCAGCGCTTGATACCGCTCTCGTCCTCGTCGAACACGAACACGGACCCGGAGGTGATCATCTTGCGCTCCGAGTCGACGAGCCGCCGCGTCACGCGTGGGATGAGCCCCCGCCGGGCGGCCTCGAGGATCAGCAGCGCGTCGCCCGTCGTCTCGATGAACCCCGACCATGGCGGCTCTGTCCAGGCGCTCGCATTCGTGCTCTGCGTCGGGCTGCCCGACGCGGCGTGCGGGTCGTGCGACATGGCGCGGTGCGCCTGTGCATCGGGGCATCGGCGGCGTCAAGGTCAAGTTGCGGGCGTCGGCGACATCGTGCGCGGCATCGATGACGTTGTCAGCGAGGGGCACAGCGGCAGCGGCAGTGTCGACAGGCACATGGGGGGCGGTGAAGGGACCATGTGGATAATGTCAGCAAAAATACGAGTAAAGTTCAAAACAAAGTTGGCTGACCGCTGCGTAAGATTCGTCGGGGTGGTGGGCAATGCAAAGAAGGTTCGCGCCCCGCCCTGCCGCGCACGCCACAATTTGTCGCTTGTACGCCAGTAATAGACAGCTCTAATCCGAGGTAACAAAAGCGAAAGGTGTTCTACAAAGCGTGGAAAAGCCTCGGAAAGGCTATGGTGGCTGATCTGATAATTCCAGGTCATTATGTCAGCAACGAAGATCCTATGATGTCGCTCACCTCTGTCTACAGCTTCTCCGCAAACGAGAAAAAAATATCAATGGGTGCAGCGGCACGAAGGCCCCATCTACATTCTGGTTTCATCGTATTTTGAACGAGGGTGATACGAGATTGTGGCTTGAATTGGATTTTGCCCGTAAGTACCCAATAAGGTTAACCTTCCGACATCAGCGCCGCTTTTCGCGCTCGTTTTTGTGCCACAGCGGCCATAGCACGCCCGGAGTGCGCTCTTCCCCTTTCTGGGCCGCACATCTCGCCACAATAATGATCTTGTGGAGTTGCCCAATATTTTCTGTTCTCGTGATGATGGCTCGTGTTAGCTCTCAGACACTCGACGGGGGTTCCGCCGGCGTCCTTGTGTTCTCGGCTCTCCAGGATCCAGATGCAAGTCTCGTGACTATGGATGAGATACAGTGGATTGGGTGAGCATAGCTAAGTACGAAGTTGTAAGTAGTTCGTCGATGTAAAATCACACTCAGAGCAGGCAGCCATGCTCGGCACCCCTGCTCAGCTGCTATACCCTACCCACTGTGGCCGAAACCGGTGCGAGACATGCTCATGTGTGAGATTCTCACCTGGGGAAGGACCATGAGATTCATACCATGCTCGCACCATACTTCAACGACGACATACAGAGCCCCGGGCTGATCGATACCTCCATTCTCAGTAGATCTTTCACCGAGGATGCCACATGCACCTCGACAGCTCCGCGCTGACCAGACATCACAAGCCCCTGCCATCACGGACGACCATTCAAAGCAAAGACCGACCCGACAGCACTCTGGAACAAGTATGAATGGTCCCTCTCGCTAGCAGGTCTCGACTTGAAATCATGTCGTCGCGCTCTCAGCTTCCTCCGACCGGCCAAGATCACCGCCATATTCCCGCATTCGAAATATACAAACAGCACAGCGGCTGGAGCTTATCTGTCATCAGCTAGCGTCTTAATAGTGTTCTGCCAAGATTCATTGCTCTCTGGGAGCTGCACTGCTATGCTGTCCTCAGTCCGAATGCCTGAAGGACCCTCTTCGTCATGCCTGCGAGGCATGCTTCCATATCGCCTTCCTACGCCCTCGCTACAAGTCTCGGTTACGTATGTACACCTGCGCGGGGAAAGGGACGTCCGTTGCAGCCTCTCGCGGATCCGCTACCGCCAGGAAACATCAGCTATCTGTCTGATGGCCCGCCGAGCTGGATGGACGGCGGCTGAATGACTGAACACTATGATCTTCGAGTACAAGATACCGTTCTCGTCGTACTCAGGCTTTCCGACACGCCAGGGCGCAACACTGCACCCGGTAGCTTGCACCTCTACACCACCACCGGCCAATGCATCCGCGCTTGTGTGATCGTCTCCGCACCCGCCATGAGGCACAAGCAATGCTTCCGAGTTCTATCGCTATTCATAGTGATAGAAGTGACCCACAGACAGTAGTTTGTTTGACCGGTTCCGGCAGAGAGCACACATTTTCTCAGCGCAATCTGTGTGGGATATCAGCTGCAGCGCTCTGCCGGTGCGAGATTCGGGTGGCCTCCAGGCCAAGGGTACGCGCTACGCCCGCGTCTCTGAGCGCATCGTTATCTCGATGCGGGGCTGCATTCGTTGATGCAGAGCCATGTCAGCGGCGAACACGGTGCCGCCGTTCCGTTCATTACACCCCCGTTGGAGAGCCAACGTTCGTCCCTGCCCCTCACATCCCAATTGACCACGGTATTGCTTCCATTCTCATACAATACAAGCTCATGAATGGATTGGGCGATTATACCGGTATACGGCGGCATAAGAATAGCGTACAAATACAGGGTATGGTGATGATGCTCTGCTTCGCATGTACACATACAACAACATTAACACGGACGCTGCGTTCTTCCGCGTGCAATTCAATGGGGAGCAATACAGTACCGGCGGGCCCTCGCGTGGCGTCCTAGCTGCCAGCCTCGTGCCCGGGGGATGACGCACAGGATGCACGCCTAATTCGAAGCATACGCGAGCTCCGCGGCGTCAGTGCATCTGTGGAGCCTGCTTCCGAGCTTGTTTGTCGCAACGGTCAGTCGATGCCAGTCGCCCGACGGCTGCAGCACGAGCGCCTGGCGGCAGTACTTCCTATGGACAATCAGCCTGGTATGAGTATACGCAAGGACGGTACTTGCCCCTGCGCATACTCCCGCAGAACGCCTGTGAGCTCCATCGTGCATGCCCGCAGGCTGTCCACCTGCAAGCACACGGGCGTCAGCGCGGGATCACGAGGGAGGAGTGGGGGTACAGGCCATGTCGTTGAGCACGCTCGCGAGGTGCCCCATGAGTGGCCCGCCGTGCGCGCACGGCGCGATGATCTTCTGGGACAGGTCTCCGTTCGCGACCGCCGTGCACACTCGTACGACCTCGAAGGCTTGCATCCGCGTCAGCGAGGCGTCTTCAGTCATGAACAGCGGCCGATAGACGATTTCCAGGCTCTGCCCTGGGCCGGGGGACCGGGTCATCGGAGACTCCGGAGTCGAG